ACCAATGGCCCCACTGCTGCTCAGAAAAGCTGATTGCACTAAATCACTTCAGGTAGGAAACAATCTAGTGACATTGTGTTGTGGTCAGTGTGTAATGATGGAGTGAAGCTTTTTAAGTTTGGGTTAATACCTTTGGCAGTAGACCTACATGGCTTTCTGATTTCCTATCTTAATGATCCAAATGTTTGTGTTCTTATAGCTCAGCTCCCTAGGCGATCATGAAAGCCAGATTTAGGAATGTTTTTCCTTTTTTGGAAAGGATAAATGAATCAACTCTAATAGGGTGGAAAATTCCTATTAGCTTCTAAACATATCTTTTTACAAAAAATAAGACTTTCCTGAGAAACCAATGAGGAGCAGAACTTTCCTTAGTGAGTGAAGTCACTAAAAAGGGCTGGCAGACCCTAACGCTTGTTCATTTTTTCATGGGGGATCAGTCTTCCTTAAAGTTACTTGTCTGCCAAAGAGACCTGAGGTTGGTTTGTTTGGTTTTTAAATAGGTACCACCCTGTTTGAAAATTAGCAGAATGTTCATTATAAATACAATTAGTTTTAAATGACTGAGTTAAATCTAACCTACTTTATATCATACCTAATATATACTGTTCTCCCTATATATTTTTGGTCTATGGGAGCTAGAGCAATTTTTCTGGGTAAGAGGCGAAATTTTCACTTTGATCTTAGTAACTCGTTCCACTACTGCCTAATATAATAACTTCTGGGGAAGATGCATGGTTGCAGACAATTAGTCCATCTTTTATTTACTCTCAAAGCCTTAAATTTTGATGGAGGCTTTTGCATTAGTCTCAGCATCCACAGGTACAGAATATAGGGTTGGTCTTGGTGAAGTAGATGCAAGCTGATAGATTTTCCTAGGGTCAATAAGAATGTAGATTGTTAAAAAAAAGAATGTAGATTGTTAACTCCTAAGTCTTTGAAAACTAGATTTAGTTTTGCATTTGACTGCACGTCCTGGTGTCAGTATGAACAGTATGAATTCTAACCTCGCCATGTATTTTAAGGCTGGACCAGTAAAAAGAGATGGACCCATGCAGATAACAGTTAAAGATCTACTAACTGTGAAATTAAAGAAGACACAAAGTTTTGATGAAAGGAAGAAGGTAAGAAGGTATGGTATTGACCATACTCTTGGCCTCTTAGCTCTTTTTTTTTTTTTTTGATCAGCTAAGTCAGCAGAAGAGATGATCTATTGGGCACATGCTGTTACATTCAGTCACAACTGAGACCAGGACTAGTCCAGAGGATCATAAATCTAGGACAAAAGCTCAAAAGAGACTGCCTTGGTACCAGCACAGTGGGTCTGCATATGTTCGTGGCGATTGAATGGTGTTGGAAAGTCTAGATTCACTGAGAGAGAAATTCTAGACAGTAGTACACAGTCAACAACTTGTAGCAGCGTCCCCTGCCTCTGGCATCATATATTCCTGCCATCGTTGCCAGCCTGTGTGTACATGCTGACAGTTTACTTAAACCTCTGCCTCATTTTTTTTCACCCTTCAGCTGTGCACTTACTTTTTTCTCCACTCGGCTCTCATGGTACAGAGGTTTCTAACAAGACGGTACTAAGGTCAGCAGTAGTCTTTTAGTTTTTAATACGTCTATCCTTTTATAAGAAGTCCTAATGGTGTAGTGGTTACACATCGGGCTGCAACCCATGTAGTGGGCAGTTCAAAACCACCAGCAGCTCCATGGGAGAAAGACTGGGCTTTCTACTCCCATAAATAGTTACAGTCTCAGAAACCCACCGGGGAGTCACTATGAGTCAGCATGGGCTCAGTGGCAATGAGTTTGGTTTTGGTATCCCTTTATAGAAAATAAGCTTCGGGTATAGAAGCCATTCTAAGAAAAGTACTTGATGTTTTAAATAATTTTATTCAACAAAATGTGTATATCTCAGAGTTATTTAATTAGGCAGTGTTAGCTACCAACCATTAGGTAGTCTAAAGAAGTAAAGACACACTTCGAAGCTTCTGAATAAATATTGAGTAGAGTAGTAGATGCGTCTTAGACATTTAGCAACCAAATATTTGCTGTTTAAGCATGCTTAAATTTTGAATGAATTTTAAAATGTGTTTTACATGGTGTTTCATTTTGTCATTAAAGCTTATACCGTCACCGAAGGCACAGAATCCCTTAGTCTCTGTTTCTGACCTGCAACGTGTTACCCTGAAACCAAACTCCCAAGTGCTATCAACTCGAGTTACAAATGTCTTCATGTAAGGAACTTTCCAGTAATATGCTGTACACTCCCTAAACGAATATATTTTTGTTACTTTTGACTTTAAAACATCTATATGCTCATTGTAGAAAAGCTGAGTCCTGTAAAGGAGTTTGAAGAAGAGAATAAACATTCTCCAAATAATCCTGCCACTGGAGTAGTCACTGTTAAGCACAATGTACCATTTTATAATTTTAATAACAGATTTGGAGTAAAAAGATATATAAAGGGGCTTCAAAAATGTATACGAAATATAATTAAAATATAAGGGAGTTTTTTTCATTTTAAATTGATAGCAAATTTATTAATTTAATTTATTGATTTTTAAAAGAGCCTGGTCTCAGAAATAAAAAATTTAAATGAGCATGTCTTAGAATCAAAAAAGTATGTGTGTGTGTTTATGTGTGTGTGTCCCATTTACTGTGCCATGAACTTTCATATGTTATTGAAAACTATTTTAAAACATCACTTTGATTTCTTTAATATATGCAATCCATTGCATGCAGATTGCTTAGATCATATCCTGTTTTGAGATATTTAGGTTTCTTATAACTTCTTAGTTAGACATTGCTTTAACTCTTCAATAAACACTCTTGTTCATTGTCAGTGAGCATAGCTGGGTTTATCCTTGGGTTAGGCTCTTGCATAGATAATTACTGAATCAAGAATAGTACTCATTAGAATGGTTATATCATCTTGTCTCATCAGCCATGTACTGTTATTATTTTATGTGCTGTTATTTTTTTAATGTACAAAGGGCAGCCACTTTTTTAGAAAATTGCCTCTAAAAATGACTTCTTTGCTTTTAGAAAAATGACTTAGTAGCAAATCTAACTTTTATGTATTTACTTTCTCAGAACTCCTGGTAAAACCCAGCTGGATCTACGGAAACTACTTAGAAAAGTTGACGTAGAGAGGTAATAATACATTCTTACATTTATGTTGTCCAGTCTATTTGAAAAGTTGATTAAAAACACAGCTCCTAATGCATGAAATACCTTTGCAGAAGTCCAGGTGGAACACCTCTTACCAATAAAGAAAATATGGAAACAGGAACTGGACTGACCCCAGTAATGACACGGGCCTTACGAAGAAAGTTCCAGGTAAACCTTTAGAATAAATCATTTTGTTTCTTTTTCTTCCAAATAATTTTCTTAAGATAGTAATCTAAAGCACCATTTGTAGTAATATTAATGTACCCTAGTGGCACAGTGGTTAAGCAGTCAGCTGCAAATTAAAAGGTCAGTAGTTTGAACCCACTACCCCCTCCTCAGGAGAAAAATGTGACAATCTGCTGTCATAAAAATTTACAGCCTGGGGACAGGGCGATTCTGTTCCCTCCTCCAGAGCTGCTCTGACTCCACAGCGGTGGTCTTGGTTTGTGGTTTGGGTATATTTTGTAAAGCATTTTCCTATTTAGGCTTTATAAGTTTCTGTGAGTTAAAATGATCATCTTTACTTTAACAAAGAAAGTCTGATTTTATTCATTCCTTTTGGAAGGATTTATTAATCACTACCTATATGGTAAGGAGCCCTGGTGGCATAGAGGTTTCTCGTTGGGCCGCTTAACCACAAGGTCAGCAGTTTGAAACCACCAGCTACTCCCGGGAGAAAAATGAGGCTTTCTATTCCCGTAAACAGTGACAGTCTCAGAAACCCACAGGGGCAGTTCTCCCCTGTCCTGAAGAGTCACAATGGGTCAGAACTGACTCGATGGCAGGGAGTCTGGTTTTGGTTTAGACCGTATGCCAGGCACTGTGAGAGCCAGGGACACCGTGGTAAGCAAAACAGACATAAATCTGCCGTTTTGGAATATTAGTCCTATACCGTATATACTCCTGTATAAGCCGAGTTTTCCAGCACATTTTTAATGTTGTTTTTTGTGGTAAAGTTAGGTGCCTCCGCTGATATTCGGGTTGGCTTATACTCGAGTATATATGGCAATCATATTTTTGCATAATTTTACATATCGCAAGTACTATGAAGGAAAGGAACAAGATTTTGTGAGAACTTATAGCAATTTGATGTAACCTAGACAATCTAGCGTTGGGTTATCTTAGGAAGTGATGCTGCTTGGTGAGGGTTGAAAACGAACAGGGATGAACTGGGAAGGGAGCCTGTGGAGTATGGGGGAGGGCCTGCTATGGGTATCAGGGAGAAGAACAGTCTGTGTGAGGGTGACGTGGCAGGCTGGAAGGAAGGGTCATGGCTAGCCACTGTGGCAAGATGCACTGTGCTGAAACACAAGGATCATGATAGGAGTAGACAGGAGTCAGAGCATGCAGGGATATAGGAAAAAGTCTTGATAATTTTGTTTTTGTCGATCACTGTATGACTGGCACATCCCAACTCACTGGATCAGCTGACCCTGCTGTGATTTCTTCTAAACCCTATTTGTCTCAGTCACCTTCCTGACAGCCTCCAGTATTAGACCTGTGAGGAGTATCCACCTTCTGAGGTGCTGGGACCAAAAGCCTCTATGTCTCTGAAGCTTATATTTCCTTTTCCCTCTGGCAATAGAGACACACCACAGACTCCACTGCCTGTGCCACCGTTTCCACAGAATTTTGCCACCCCAGCACTGCCCTTGTCTAGCTCCGGGACTCTAGAATCAGTGCCTGCTGCTGGCAGCTTGGTTTCCCTCCCGCCAATCAATGTAGCCCTCCTGGACACAGCACAGCCTTCTCCGGAAGTGTCACCAGGCTCCTACTTCTGGAGGAAGCATTCAGAAGGATATGCAGAGCCACAGAAATGCAGGTCTTTGGTAATTCCACAAGTTGTGAAGGACAGCTCCAAGATCCTGGTCTTCCCTGCCCTACCCCAGAGTTCATAAAGTGAAGTGGGTACGCTGAAAATACAGTAAATAGTAAACCAATCTATTAAATGGCCAAAATTACAGATAAAAAGGAATACTGTACATTGTGCTCGTTAATTTATTTCCTAGGAAAATGTCTAGTAAAAATTGTTTTCAAATATAGACTGATTTTTCCCACTTAGCTCTCAGGCTTCATCTTTTCCTTTATTTATTTATTCCCCCCCCCCCATCTATTTATTTATTTCATCTTTTCCTTTAATTCAAAAAGCAGCTATATCAGTTAGGGTTATGCATTTGACTACAGGTACAGCAACCTGACTCTAATGGCTTCACCAAACAAAGGCTTTTTTTTCTTACCTTTGGGCAGTAGATAGGCCACAAAGGGTCCAGAAACGTCACCATGTCATCAGCATCCATGTCATCACAGCTCTTCCATCCTGGAGGTCCAAATGGCTACACTTTCTGAAGCCTCGGACGTACATTTCAGGCAAGAGAAGAAGGAAAGGCATAGGGCATGTCAACTAAGCCCTGTCATCGAACCCCTTTAGAGAAGCCCAATTCAGGAACTTCTACTGAGAGGCTGAAATGTGGCTTTTGCTGTCCTGCAACATCTAGGTTCTTTTGTGAGGAAGAAGAATTGTATCAGCCATAGGAACCTACTTCACATTCTAAGTGGAATTTTTATTTTCACAGCTGGCTCATCCCAGAAGCCCAACTCCAATTTTGCCACCTACTTCAAGCAGCTTTGATGAACAAAACTGATAACAACTCGGCCTGACTCCAGGTGAAGCTCCATAAGCCATAACGAGAAAAACCACTCCAAATCTTTTTTGTTTGTTTCTTTTTGAGGGTATGGAAAAATTATTATAGTAACATCATATACTAAGATATAATTCCATGTTCAGAATTGTATACAGTAAATGGACCCTACACATACTGTGGTAAAAAGTGGTTATTTGGATATTTTTCTAGTGTGCATGATCTGTAAAATTACCAGATGGGAAAACAGAATCTCCAAAATCATATTGACCCTGGAATTAGACAATTGAGTTTGGCGAGAGAACTGGTTTGTACTATCTAGATATAATATGGCATGAGGCAAATAGACTGGTTCATGTTTACCTTGGAAATTATTAGTAGAGGATGGTAACAGCCCCACTAATGTCCTTCACTCCGAAGGGGCTTTTATTGGATGATTGAAAGGAAATATATTTTCACCCATAAGATTCATCCATTTATAAAATGCTACACTGATAACTTGATCAATTATAAAGACCCTTTTGATAGTAATTCTTTTTATTGCAATTAAGAGGTAAGACCCTTTCCAAATTCAACTACTTTTCAAAAAGAATTAGTAGTAAAAGACTCAAAGTGACCTAAAAACTAGAATGTATCATTTCTAGCACCTTATATAGTTAGTACTGTTTGGCTCGGTGAGGTTCAAAATATTCTGTAATTTTATATCTGCTGTCCAGATGCATGCAGATAAATATAGGTATCACGAGCAGCACAAAATGAGCCAGATATCATCCATCATGCCCTGACAAGGATTCCTGGAGATCCAAGCAGATTCTCTGTAAGACCTTTTTCCTTGTCCTCACCAGCCTGTGGATTCAGAAACAGTAATAATAATGCATATCTCACTGGTTTGGAGTCCTTCTTGCCAGCCTAGGGTTGCCTGATTTAGCAAATAAAATTATATGGAACTCAAATTTCAATTTTGTATAAACAACAAATAATGTCTTAGTACAAATATATCTTATTAAACAGTAAATATGTGTTTGGCTTAAGTATGTATCCAATATTGCATGGGACATATTTATATTTTGAAAAATTATTCATTGTTTATGTGAATTTCACATGTAATTGAGTTTCCTATGTTTTATCGGTCAACTTTATCAGCCAAAGTTCCCCTGAAAATCTGAGAAGCCTCCAGCTTGCCATTCGAATCGGCCCAACAACGTGTCTTACTGTGGTTCTGCTCAGGGTACCTATCACATGTGTGTCACATATCATGGAGGAAGGGGACCTCTTTAGGGTGAATATGCCGGACATCACAGGCTTCACTTTGATATTGATAACCTCTTCTGCAGTTTTGAAGATAAGGAGAGCAGCTCCTCGTGAATAAGAGACAAATGTTCACCAGAGTTGCTCTAGTGTGTATAGTTAGCCTTCCAGGAAGCAGCTCCATAGCTAATAACCTTAAAATGTCCCCAATGAGATTAGGCTAAAAAGGCAATTTGAGAAGTTCCTAGAAATGTCTGCATTTCCACATAATAGATACTCCTCCGAAATGACAAATAACATCGTCACCAAGTTAGACAACAGACCTAGGGTCAATGTTTATCATATAAGAGGCAGTCCTGTTTGTAAGACCCACATTATGTTTACAGTGCACTTATGGATAAAAATCTAACAATGAAGTTAAGAGACATATCTGCTTCTACAAAAACCCAAAAAACCCTGCATTTTTTTAACCTGCTAGTTATATTTATATTATGTAAGAAGAGGTAATGATCAGTGAGACAAAAGTATTTTAATAGAATAATACTTTATGAGGCAAATATAATGTTGATAATATTCAAAAGCCTCCAGGCACTGTGCCATCTAAACAATTTGATCATTCTTGTGGAATAAAGGTTCATAAGAAAAATGCTATAAAAATCCTATCAAGAAACATTTGCAAAAAAATTTGCAAAGCTGCTATTGCTACTTTATCAGTATTAAAGTGTGTTCTCTCTTATTTTATTATTTCTATTCTGTATCCCTTTGAGAACCCTCCATGGCTTTGTTAAACTATTGCTTATCAAATGCTTTCGATGGCTACTTTGGGACTGAATGACAACCAGAGAAAATGAACAACCAAGATGTACCTGGATTTTTAAAAAATAAAAGATTCATAAGATCCTTTTGATTTTTCTTTCTTTTTTTAAAACTCCTTTTACTGGAAATGTAACATTATCGAAAAGTACACAAAACATAAGTATATAAACAAATTAGTCATAAAGCAAACTCACGCAAATGACAAACGGGCTAACATCTTAGAAGCCTTGTAGCACAATCTTTTCACCAAGAAACTACTGGTCTACTTCGTACGTCAGTAAACTCGCTTAGTGAAATTAGCACAGTATCTACATGAAGAGGATCATGAAGTAATTTAGGGAGATAAATGTAAAATTTCTCATTTCAGTTGACTTAGAAGATAGATATAATCGGACATGCAGAAGTAGAGAAGAAAAAAAGTAAAGAGCAAGCAGACAAAATGTATAAAACACAGCCCAAAAAACCAACCCCTACTCTTTCTAACACAGGAGAAAGATGAGGCTTTCTAGTCCCGTAGACTTGGAAACCCACCCAGCCACAGGTCGCTAAATGAGCCAGAATTGACTAGATGGCAGTGAGATTTTGGAACCTTTCAAAATTGTTAGTAAATAAGAGTTGGTTAAGAAGAGTGTGTAGAGGGTTTTTTAAGTTCATGGATAAATTCAACTATCTTTCTATTCCATTTTCCCACAAACCCATTGTGTTTGAAAACTCAATATGACTGAATATATTAAAAACACCACTACTACACCATAGTGCCCCAACCTACCTACCTTTGAGGATTAAATAAGGTGATTCTTTTTTTTAAATCGTTTTATTAGGGGCTCATACAAGTCTTATCAATCCGTACATCCATCAATTGTGTAAAACGCATTTGTACATTCATTGCCCTCTGAGGTAATTCTTGATGAGAATTTAGCACACAGGCATAGAGCAACGTTTTCATTGTTTGATTACATTATTGTATTGCCATCATTTGTCATCCCAAGTAACAAATCAATCAACACAAATGCTCTCATTCTGTCCCTACATTAAAACCTGGAGTGTTTTATAAATAAGTTTAACTTCAAGCTTCCCGTCACCGACATTAAATCTTGAATTGTGGTGTTGGCAAAGAACAATGGAAGTGCCACGGACTGCCAAGAGCAAACCAGTCCGTCTTGGAAGCACAGCGAGAATGTTCCTGAGAATCAAGGCGGGTGAGACGGTGTCCCACGTACTTTGGGTATCAGGAGAGACCAACCCCTGGGGAAAACCATCAGGTCGGCAAAGTGGAGCAGCGATGAAGAAGGGAAACCCCTGGAGCAGACGGACCGACGCGGTGGCTGCAATCCCGGCTGTCCAACCCAAGAAC